CCCCAAAACCCCAAAACCCCGTGAAACATATAGAAATATTGAATTATTTTTAGCAATTAGAATAAATTTGTACAATTAGGATAATTTTAACTCAAATAATATTCTTTATTCTCTTCAAGATTTGTTTGAGTTTCGAGCTAAGGATGAGATCTAATTTGGTGTCCCATTTTAATTAGGTCCTTTTAAGTATGGACTATAATATGCTTCATAAACATCGTATCTGTCTTTCTAATTATATGCTAAACACTTCCTAATAAACTCCTAAAAACGTAAATAGAAATAATAACTTACTTTGCAACCATCACTGATTATTGGTTTCTATGGAAATATCACTTCTCTTGCATTCAATATGGTTTAATCTGACAGGATAGCTTATTAAGATTTATCATGACCAAAAGGTTTTTGGCCAAATAGTATCTCAAAAAATATGACTCCAACACTCCAAACATCAACCTTCGAATCTATTTCAACAGGCTATCCAGTCATTAAGAAACACTCTGGTGCTTAATACCAGTAAGTCCCAACACCCTGCGATGTTAATTCTATTTTTTCAGAGTTCTCATCCATTGCCTTACACAGGCCAAAATCAGTGATCTTGACCTCACCATTGTGGAATAAAATATTCTATGGCTTTAGATCATAATGAATGATTTTCTATTTAAAATCATTGAGATACTTTAGCCCACTCAAAATTTGAGAGATTATAAGCTTGGCTTCTTTTTCAGGAATCTATTTTTATTACTTGAGGTAAAAGTAAAGATCAGGGCCTGAGCATATTTCTAAAATTGTACAGAAACTATTATGATCAATCTCTACAGTATCAAATTGTCTAACTATTCTTCTGTTATTAAGGTCTTTATGTATCTCATTTTCTCTTAATGCATGTTTTATATAGCTCTCTTTGATGTTTTCATTCCAAGTGTCGTCGAAATGATGAATTTTACATGCTACCTCTCTACAATATTCAAGATCATAGGCTTTGTACACTTCAGAATAACCACCCTTGCCAAGTAGACTCAAAATTAGATATTTTTAAGCCAAAACTTAGTACTTTATTTTCGAGTTTATACCACAATACTTGGAATTTTCTTCATCTCTCATTCTTTTATATTCGTTGAGGTAAGTGATTTTCTCTTTTTCAAGCAAGCTCAACTCTTCTCACAATCTTTTCTCTTCATTCTCAAGCATTCTCATTTTGAATTGATAGATTTCCTTCTACTCATTTTTATCAATATTATTAAACTCTGATTGCTCAAGATCATATTCACTATTTTCAGTGTAACCTATCATCCCACAATTTTATCTTTAACTACCATTGGAAAATCCGTCTTAAGGTACTTACGGTAGTTCTTTTCCTATTTTCTTCGATATTGATTTACTCTTATTACTTGACTTCTTTAATCTTTCAATTTGTTCCTTTTCCCTCTAAATATCTTTGAGTTTCTGATGTATCTTTTTAAATACTTCCCCTTCTTCCCATATCTCAACATACTTAGTACTTTATCTTTAAGTTGTTGGCCTTCCCAACCTTATTGATTACTCACTAAGCCAAATTCTTTTCTCTTTTCTGATTTTTTCTTCTAGCAGAGTTAGTGTCTTTTTATGCTGTTCCATTTGCAATCTTCTTTAAGTCTCAGCCTATGAGTAGATAATTTTATACTCCTGAAGTGAATTTATAAATTGATTCATCAGCTAGTTATTCTTTTCCAGCTCTTCATCTTTTTGCTTTATCATTCTTTTAGTCATCTCAGAATCCTTTTACTCTAGTTTGTACTTCATAAACCAATCACACATATGATCAGTTTCTTGAGTGTCCACTAAAGAGCCACTTTAGATACTATTTTAATTTGAAAAGTGAAATTAATGATTGCAAGAGTGACTTTGACTTTAATCCACCTTTAATCTTTTGAATCCTTATGTCTCTAAGTGAGAAATGCTCTAGTTTACTTTTTATTTTTGAGGTAGACATTTAATCTGGGAGCATGAAGATTATTAATTACTCTATGCATAGACAATCTTTTTATTAAGCATTTTCGTTTGCTTAAATGGAATAGTACCTGAATTGCAATTAGGATTGGAATTATTAATGATTGTGTTGCTATTTAGAGAGTGCATTGAGTCGCAGTTTTCATTCAAGGATATAAGTGAATTTGAGATCGGGAATTACTCAATCGATACTTGATTTATATCATCATTCATGATGTCGCATTATTAGTTGTTGCCACAATAGTTGTTAAGTATGGAGTTGTTGATGTTGGATAGTTAGTAGTTGGATATATATTTCTAGTTTTAGATCGAAAGATTTTCCATATAAATTATTTATAAAAGTAAACGTGAAATTTCACTGACCAAAGTCAAGACTTCGGTGGGAGTAGAATGTTGAAATTATTGGTTTTAATAAATTTGGGCACCTTGCTAGATATTTGATTAATTTCTAATATTTCGACTTTACCATTAATTTCAATATCACGGGGTTTTGGGGTTTTGGGGTTTTGGGG